TTGAGATTCATGGGCTTGGATGGATTCATATTTCCAAAGATTTCTAATATTTTCAACAAATATTTTGTAAAAATGTTTTATTCTTTCTTCTTGCTTTCCTTTCTGCAACACTTCTAGTGTAAAGGATTACTTTCCATTTAATAAATCTCAAAATTTTCCCTGTTTATTTTAATTGTTTTCCTTTTCCTGACCTAATTCAATCTCATTAGGCAACATATCATCAAGTTCCATAGTTATTTATTCTACAAATTTATTCTGTTGTTGACATTTTTATTGCCTTTTTAATTTATTAAACTCTTTTTGGAGATTTGTTTTTTGTATTATTTTGTCTCTTTATAACAATTATCATCAATTCTATTTCACTCTTATATCATTTATGTTTCTTTAAAATCTGTGCCAAAGTTGATTTTCCTGTTCCATTTTGGTTGTCAAGGCAATTTGCTACTATTTATTTATTCATTCATTTATTTATTCTTTATATATTTATTTTGCGCTTTCAGTGCCCCTTAATTCTCTCTGGGTACATCAGGGGCATTGCATCAACACATGGCTTAGGATGGTTTCACCATAAACTCTGTGTGCATAGGCTGCATTGGGTTGATGCCAGGTCTGTGCTTTAGGGTTGTGTCACTTTAGCTTCTTCAGGAGAATTCAGTGCGTGTGATGTGTGTGGTTGTCTCTCTCAGTGGCCTAGGTTTAGGAACTGTGTGAATGCACTGCTGTGACACATAGATCTCTTCTGGGCGATCAAATTGGGAGCTTAGATTGTGCTACAGTAGTTTAAAGTTGTTGGCTCTGTGAGCTTATATGGCTAGATTGTTTATGTAATAGAGTTGGCTTGGTGTCTTTCTCAGTAGGTCTATGTGGGATTGTTGGAGTACTATGAGATTGTGTGTTTGTGTGTGCATGTGTGTGTGTGTGTGTGTGTGTGTGTGTGTGTGTGTGTGTTGGTTTTGTCAATGTATTAGGGTTGCCAGTAGCCAAAGTGCTCAGTTGGGTGCAGGAAGACAAGCAGTTATTGTTCAAAAGCTGCCAGAATTCCCTCAAGGAATCCATGCTGTTTAATGCAGGCTTGCAAGCTGCTTCCTACAGTTGATAACATATAAAGACACCTCCCAATTTTCTATTTCTCAGAGTCTTTGCAAGCCGAACACCTGAGAATGAGCTGCTCAATTTCTTTATGGGACCATAGAAGGCTGGGGAAGTCCTCCTGGATGATGCCAGAGAGATTCAGCATGCTTAGCCCTCTTGGCTTCTTCTGGGAGCCAGGATGTGTAGGCAAAGTCCTTTTTCTTGCTTCACAGGCATGCTGTGAACATGGTCACTCAGTATGGGCTGCCTCTCTAATTTCCATTGCTGAGGGCAGTGCTGTCTGCTACGGTCCTAGTTCTAAACCTTCAGGGTATTGGTGGAAATGTCTGGCTGATTCCTGGGCATCGATGAGACATTAAAATGTTTCCTGAGTGCCTCTCCCAGCTGGGTCACTTGGCAGAGCTGCTGAGACACTGCCCAAGGCCAACTGGACAGGTCAGCAGCATCATGTCCTAAGACCAGGTTGGCCACGTGCCCTGAATCACAGTTGTCCAGAGCCTCAAGGTGGTGATGATCA